TAATCTCTGTCTTCAATAGCAGCCTCTTCTGCAACCTGACCAGCAGGTACAGTTAACACTGGAAAATTAAAGGGTGACATGTTATCCACTGCAAGACAGGCTCTTGCACAGCTGCTTCCCTGACGCCAGTGCATCTGCATGGGGCTGAAGGAAAAGAGGAGAGCAGTGGATCAGCAACACCAAGGTCTTCCTGGAGAGGAGAGAATCTCTGGACCTGGTTTCCACTTTCCTTTATTCAGGGCTCTGAAATACCCACATATTTCACTGCAATGGGGCTGACAGAACCCAAAGTCAAATATTTGCATCTTAAAAAACACGTGAGGTAAAAAACTATCATTCTGATGCCTCAGTAATGCAATTAATAGCTGGGACAGGCCAAGCAAGAGGAACAGAAAGCTCTCCTTGAAAATTCCCAGTAACCAGTCCCATGCTTAAGCTCTGAATCCGCTTTAAACGCATGCAAGAGGCACAAATACTCCAGAAAACAAAAACGTTTTCAATCTGCAAACATGGGGTTTCACTTTGGGAAGGCAGTCGCAAGAATTCATCCAACCAAGGAGGAGAAAGGCACCACAGGAGCTACTGAGGGTAGCGCTGAACAGCTCTCCCTGTTTCTTCCTTAGACACAAGCCAGGAATTCCTTCTTGTATTTGGCAATTAATTCTCAAAAATTAACAGCTTTAGAGAATTGTTCTTCACTAGTGAGGTCCATGAACAGAACTGCTGTAACCCATCTTGCACTGTAGCACTGTATGCACCTTACAGGAGAGCTGCTCTGCTTCCTAATCCTCTTTTGCTGCACCGATGTTAATCCAAACACTTGAGTATCCCGAGGACGTGCTATAAGAATTGTCAGTAGTAGCCAAGGCTGATGAATTACATCCCTTGAGGAAACAAAAACTCACTGTATGAGCAGAGCTCTGCCCTGCTTTACTGAACACTCTCTACATTTGCCTTGTAAAACTGATAGATGATATTGCCCTAAGCAATGTGACCAGCGTTATGGGGGGAAAAGGTGTATTTAAGCTGGTATTAATGGCCTAACATTAAGTTCTACAAGAACAATGGAGTGATTGCTGAAGGTAACAGGTTGTTGTTTCATCTGCAGACTGATTTACTCCCACACTGGGAAGTCTGCCATGAGATGAAGGAATTGTCCTTGGCTGGCTGCTGAGGAGACAGCGGCTAAGTTGGCCACAACGTTCCACTGAAGTTGTTTGGGTTTAATGCACAGACTGAAACATTAAGGTGTAGCAGCATGAACTAAGCTTGGTCTCACCAAGCTCTGCTGCTAAATGTCAGTCACACAGACATTTTTAACCCCTCTTGGAGCCCAGCAGTCAGGCAGAGACTTGTTACACCTCAGTGCTGACAAGCTGCATCCCACCAGGCACCAGCCCTCTGGGGCTCACCAGGGTTCACAGGCAGCAGTTCTCTTGTTACTCTTTCTGAAGTGAATCCTCAGTGCTGCCTTCCAAGCTCAGCTCCTCCTTACCTCGCTGTCCATCCTGCATGCTAAGGATGAAGGGCTGGCTGAGGCCACTGCTGGGGATGGCTGTTTGCAGGCTGCCCAGGGGAATGCCGTCTGACACAATGGCGATGACGTGCTGCCCTCCGCTGCCAACCGCTTGCTGTATGGCAGGATCAACAGAACTTGCTTCCACTGTTTCCTCTGTCTTACCTTGGGAAATAAGTAAGTGCCAAAAAACAAAGGAAAAAAGAAAATCAGTGTTTCCTTCTCTCTTCCTTGAATACAAACTGAAAGTCTGGTGGAAAAGCTCAAGCAGGAGCTTGAGACTCCTGGGATGCCTCCTTATGAAAAGCAATCTGCACACAGAGCAAATCTTAGAGGGAAAAGAAAATAGAACCTGCTACACTGTAGGCAAAACAAGTCTTCCAGAGTAAACCCAGCACTTTGTGGTGTAAATTAATGAGTACTAGCACACCAGCATGTTAGTCCAATTAAAAAGCCTGCAGCTGGAGGCAGCTGTTAAGCAGACCTGGCTCTGGGAAGCTTCCTTCCGTGCCCCTTCCCCCAGCTCTAATGAAGACAAACCACAGGCAAAAACTGCCTCAAGAGCCCCATCCACACCAGCACGGCCAAAGCAACCATGAGGAGGCTGTTTAGCTTGGCTGGACGACTGCAGAGAGGTTCAGCTTCCTGGCACCCTTTCTGTGTGACTTATGGCTCGCACAAGTAATCAGGATTGCAAACCCTGGGCTGCATCCTGCTCTCAGGGTGAGCTGCAAGAGCAGGAAGCGGGATCCAACGTGCTATGCAGACGCCCTAGAGAGGAAAACACTCAAGCACCACAGGTCAAGGAACAGTGGTGTGGCACCAGCAGCTTAAAGTGAAATTGCCCCTCTCTAGATCCTAGGAAAAACACTTGGCTTTGGGGAAAAGAACTGAGTGTTAAGGTGAAAGGATTTATATAAACGTTATAAAATTCCTAAATCTGAAGTTAAAGGTCAAACATTACATTCTACAAACATAAAAGATCATTACAAAACACACACACACACCCCCAAACCTTTCCCTAAGAAGATGTTACCAGAAGTTCAAGAGACTCAAAACATTTGCTGACAACCAACAGTTTATGAAAGTGGGCCAGAAACCATTTCAGACAATTCCTTCTAAATCAGTATTTATCTACTTTACAAATTAAAGTAAACCCATGTTGTTTCGTGGTGCTTTTTTGTTGGTTTCTTTTTCTTTTGTGCTTTAATATCTGTAACTGTTAAAGCCTGTCAAGAGAAACATACATCAGGGTCACACATGCCAGCTACTAAAAATGAAGTTACTGCTATTGGTAACAGTTGCTGGGTTTTTAATTACATTCTAAATGGGATGAAACAAACAAAGCCCCAGATGAACTCACTGCTTCACAAACATTTATCGTCATCTCTTCTTTACCCTGAAAAAAAGACAAAAATCACTTCCAGGTCTCCAGTTTCCTCCCATTTCCTCACAAGACCCTGGCTAGAACTACACAGACTCAAATCGGCACCGGAGTGGTTTCCCCTACCTGTGTCTCTGCCTGAGCTGGAAAGTGGTGCCGACACCTCAGCGAGGGCCGCAAGCGTGGCAAGCACAGAGGTTGTTGAATGGGAAAACTGCACCGTGGAGCCATGTGAATCACCTGCTTGGGAAACAGGATTGTCAGGACCTGCCATATCCCAGCGTGAATAAAGCAGACTGCAACAATTCTGGCATCTAGAGAGCAAGACACCAGCTCTGAAGTACTTCCTAGGCTCCCACTGGTCGTTGCAAAAAGGGAAGTGGTACAGATGGCTTTTCATGAGAGGTGCCTCTCCTATTACCAGCTGTAACAAGGGCTTTGGAACAGACTGTACCCACTCTGAATACTTCATGGCAGTTGCTATGCACGTAAGGAATTGCCTTCGTGTTGTACTGCAACTTTCACAACTGGAGCCCCCAAAGAATGTATTAAACTCCTTGGATATTCTGAATACATCACAGCATCCATGTTCTTCCTCAGCTGGGGAAGTCTCCACGTCTCTTCAGCGTTCCTTCATGGGCCAAATGTTTTAGCACCAGTCAGTTACAGAGTGGTTTGGTCAGCCACAGGAACTGGCTGCACATATGGCTGGGTTTCAGTGGACTGAGCATGCAGGTACTTTCTTCCTCCCTTCTCAGATTCAGTAACGGAAAGACCATGGTTACTGCAATGGGGTATTGATTTGAATGAGACAAACAAGTCTTCTCGGTTCCAAAAAACAATGTTTCTTCCTCCAATTGACCGTAGTAACTCCTATTCAAAGGCAGACTTAATAAGAATGGAACAGGAAATTAACTAAACGGGAGCAAACTCAGTGCATACAACCCACAATTCCTCCTAAAACAAAACAAAACAGAGATCCTGTACCTCATTGCCAGCGTAGATAAATAGATTATAAGCACACAAAGGGAAGTTCATACAAAGTTCCCCTGCCTTAACCCTTGCAACCTGTTTTCTCCCTTTCTCACCAGCTCCTGATTTTACAAAGGTTACCAAGGGACTTATTTTCTAAGAATGCTGCTTTCAAAAGGCTGTGGGCACAGGCCTAATGACTGTCTGCAGCAGCTTGTAACCAGATTTCTTCAGACCAGCTAAAGATACCTCTTAGAGCACTGGCTGCCTATTACTGGTGCTGGAAGTGTTGTGGGGGGGGAAAAACCCAGGGTATTTCAGTCCAGTCACATGTGGACAATAAGCCACTGTTGTCTTGGGCACTGAAAAGAGGTGATTACATTGCAGGGTGTACAAGGGGCAGTGAGAGCTGGGGATTTGCAAGGCCAGCTCCAAGAGCTCATCTGTAGCGCTGCCCACGGTGGATGGATTCAAGGGACTCAGAGCGACCTCCCAGCTCAGCCCGGTGACACCAAGGCAGAGGGCAGATAGGTTTGATTGTCCCACCAAAGGGATAGAGGAAATAGAAAAAAAAACCCAATTATTTCACCTAAAGGGCTGCATTTGCACCAGGAGAAGGTCTCAAGAGCCTGTGATTGTGTTTAAGCTGTAAATCAACAGGGCCTCTGACTCCAACCTGGCTTCCAGGCACAGCCATGTGCAGACACAGTGATGCTGATCGTGGCAAGGGCATCATCTGGGATACAGAACTCCAAGTTTTATGTGCCTTTGAGTTTATGGAATATCCTTGACTGAAGATGCTGTGCACCAGTCACACTGCGTTTTCTTCACAGGTGCTACAGGAACACTTTGGGTTAATTTTTCCCTTCTACATTAGGGTTTGTCAGTGCTTCAAAGCTGCGAGGAGCCCCGAAAAAGCTTTGAGAGCAAGTCTGGAGCGTTGCTGAAGCCTGTGTGGCCAGGCACAGGCAGAGGGGTCTGGCTGGGACTGCACAACATCAGGATCCAGGATCTTAAAAGCACTCTCTAGCTAACAAGCAAACATTCACGCATGTGAAGTCCCACTAACCAAAGAATTACTCACATGCAGAAGTGTTTGCAGGATGAGGCCAAATAGCTTCACAAAACTTGTATTTAGTAGCCTCCTTGAGACTGAAAAGAAACAATCGTTTGGATTTCCCCAAATACAGAAAAATCACTTTAAGAGTCATTATGAAAACTCGAATTACACAAAAAGAATTCAGCACTCAGCCTCAGAAGTGTTTTCCCCACCAAAATCAGGCTCCCAGAACAATGAGGAGCCAAATTATTTCCATCTAACACGTGGGACAGAAGAAATAAGGACGAATACACGTATCCTATAGACCTGCTTATTGTGCGATTTCCTTACTCAGCATTTATATACAGCAAAACATTCACTCAACTCTTGTAGGCAGCAAAGAAAACAGCAAATGCTCCCCAACTGCTCTGCAGTGCCCGAGTTTTGGCATAGGCAATAATTCTCATTTTTCCTCTGTTGCAATCAGCCAAATCAAGTTTCTCAAGCTCTGTTGCTTACAGCAGACATGGAGCAGACCCACAGCTGAGCTCAGCAGAGCTCTGCCACTCACAGAGGAACCACCTTCATTTACATCAGCTAGAAATCTGCTTTGTTACCTTTGAGGGCAAAACTACTCTGAGGCAGGAAGCAGGAGTTGGGTGTGTTTGGCTGCTTTTCACTTTTCCTCTCCTAAATGACCATCTGCCCTCTACTGGTAAGCAGCCTTAGGAACTTCTTTCAAGACTCCCAACTCAAGGTCACATAAAACCTCACCTGAGGTTGTTTTGGCACTTGCTGAAGAGACGAGACCAGTGAGATCAAGAACCTCCCCTGGTGTAAGAAGAAACGGTGAGGTGAGAGTCACAGTGTTGGTGATGGGATTCCTTCTCTCTGGATGAGTGTTCACCTGGTTCTGCATTGCTTCCTAGGAAAGAGAGTGGGGTCAGGCCTACATTTGTCAAGCTTTCTCTGGTATTTAGCACCCCTGAAGCATTTTAGAGGCTGATAATTTCCCTCTGCAGTGTGTCGGGGACACCAGTGCAAAAGCTGTGACAAAACTCCACCTAAACTTGGCAACTTACACTACAAGCACGCAAGATGCATGGAAACAAAACCCTGTCACCACTGACTCCTGGAGGCACACAGTAGCTGATGAACAAACCTCATCAGCAAACACAGGTCAATCCCATCGAACACTCTATTGCAGACACAGTTGTGGGTCAGAGAATTACCAACAAGCCTCACTCCTCAACCTACCTGCAGCATTACCAGAGTCTCTGGATTGTTCTTGTCCAAAGCAATATCAAAAGCTGATTTATCAAACTTGCTGAAAGCATGGACATCAGCCCCGTGCCTGATGAGCAGCTCCACGATGTCGCGGTGGTCGTGCTCTGCTGCCCAGTGCAAAGCAGTCATTTTCAGCATGTCTTTGGCGTTTACATCAGCCCCATTCTGAAAGAAATCAGCGTTACTGTCTCCTCCTAAAGCCTTTAAGGTAGTGCCTGCCCTGGCGTTTAAACAGGGCCAGCAACACTTAACTCCAAAGGTGATCTAGACCAGCCTTAATGTTACACCTCGTTTCCTACACTCACCTTAATGAGCAGTTCTACAATCTGAGTGTGCCCGTCGGCCGCAGCCATGTGCAGTGGCGTCCGGTCCACTTTCGTTCGGGCATCTCTGCTAACACCAGCTCGAAGAAGAACTTCTGCTGTTGAGTAGTGGCCGTACTGGGCAGCGAGGTGCAGGGGCGACGTCCCGAGCTGCGTGTGAGTTCAGAGAAGTTATTGCTGCTTCACAGCAAGAGGCACTGAAATCATCACCTGCATGTCTGCCAGTAATTCAAAAGACAAAGTTTCTGGAAGAAACTAATGGAACTTTCCCCCCCTGCCCCATCTAAATAGGAGGTTGCACATCCCATAATTTTCCTGACAAACGTTAAGCTTTTTAGGAATCTCTGCATTATCTGATAATTTGAGGCTCAGACGTGCTTTTACTTTCTCTGCTGCACCATCCCTTTATCACTAAGCTCCTTTCCCAGGACACCAGACCACAGCAGAACAGCTCTGCCATCTCTGTATCGTGATCTCAGTATCGTGAGATCATTCCCCCACTGTTGAGAAAAGGGCAGTATTACAACAGCTTTGCAACCTCTTGGTCTGCTTAATTCCTTCATCTCACAATGCATGAACAGAGCGGTAAATTAGGGAATTACAAGTATTAGTGATGGAAAATGGCTACTGATGGCTTCTTGTCCCCTGTTTATCCAACTATTACTGTTCGTTTCCATTAAAGCTCTTATTCTCTTCCCAACCCTGGTTTGGTTTTGGAGTTTTTGGGTTTTAAGAGAAGAAAAAAAACCCAACCCACAAACCAGAGTTTCTTGACCTAGAGGTTAAACATTTAAATAAAGCATTCTTAAAAGAACTTCTTATTACTGAGAAGTGTAACAGTTCTTCTAATTTGATTTGACTCATCATTTATCTCAGCTGCTGGGAATTACGTTTCTTACAGCATCAAACCCTTGCTGTCTGGGACAACACAGTACTTGTGACTGTGCTCTTGTGCATTAGGCAGAGGCCAATCTGTCCACAAATATCCATTCATCTTCGCCTGAGGGAGGTCTTAGCTTTTAAAGTGCTTTATCTGGAATCTGCTCTCCCACATTATCTGGCATCTCCACTCTGGTTTTACTGCTCCAACTGACACTTGTACCCTTTAGGCTCAGCCCTAAGGAGTGCACACACAACCCGTTCTGCACAGCACCCCAGCAGCCGCCCCTGTGACGGACCCAGTCAGTGGTGAAGGGAGCGCCGCTCGCCATCAGCTTCCGCACTTCGTCATCTTCGCCTTTGCGAGCTGCTTCCAGCAGCCTCTTGCCCAGGTCCACTAAGGACATCTTCATACATGGGAACGAGTATGTGCTGGAAGCTGCTTTAAAAGCAAGAAAGGGAAAACAAACAAAGAGCAGTGAGGCACAGGCATGTACTTTAGAAGTGCTGTACAACTGCGGCCCATCTGGATGCGCCAGTGTCCCCCATAGAACCAGGCCCAAAGCTATCAATAAATGGGCACAAATATTTATCCTATTTTTAAGAGAAGGCAGGGCCAGCAAATGGGTCACCAGAGCTCCTGCAAAATCCTGCTTACCTCAACAGCGCCTTGCATGGACACAAAGACTTGCCCATGTGGATCCAGTTCCGAGAGCAGAACCTGTAAGAGCAGCAGCAAAGCTGTGCACATTCCTTGCACAACACCTTTTTGAGTTTTAAAGCACTTTGAGAACGTGATTCAATCCCCAAAACACTCTCTGACCCCAGCACTAAGCACGGGGGAACTATCCCTGTAAAGGATAAACCAAACCTTGGTAACTCCAGGGATTTGTTCAAGGTCATCAAAGGAACAGAACACAAAAGCTGTGCTCAGTGTACCAGACGATAGTGCCTCTATTATACTGGTATTATTATTCCAAGCTATATAAAACATAAGTAAGGCAATAGTGAACTGTAGCAGCTTTTCAAGGATGAGGTTATGCTGGCACAAAGTCAAAGACTGACTTTAAAGCCTAGCCATTAACTCAAGGACAGCATTAGTAAGCAGCTACAAACGAATGCCTGAGCAAACGTGCACTGTGCCAACCAGCCTAACAGCGATTCCAGCAGCACTGAGACTTCCAGCTCTATTCCCCCCCCCTTCAATTACTGTTCTCTGTTGCAAAGCTCCATTTCTTTTGTATTCCTTGTTCTTTCACAGAACCATCCCACCCTGTCTTCAGTGACCGAGGGAAGCGGTTGTCAGCAGCACAAGCCCTTTCCAATAAAGCCAAAGAGCAAACCTCACCCCTGAGCCTCCTCAGGACACGCTGCCCGTACCAGCGCCTCCCTCCACAGTCATCTCTCACTTCATGTTCTGAACTTCTTGCCTTTTCTGAGTGTGCAGACACCCGAGCCTTGAAAATCAACAGCCCAAAGCAGTTACTTGGCATTTACCCTGCAAATTGGGAACCTCTGATGCATTTACAATGCGCGTGTTTGACTACCCCAACCCCTCTGCCCTTCGGGACTTCCCAGTTCCGTGGTGGTTGCCTCTGGTTTGTGTTTGATGTGTTCTCCTCACTTCTTGTGGGCCCGGGGAGGCTTTTGCTCGTGGCTCACGCTGAGAACACTTGCAGTGTCTGCTGGGCAGGAGCGGTCGCACCGAGCTCCGCGTTCACAACGTTAACCCCCAGCTTACGAACTTGTGAGGCTGGAGTTCCCCCGCCTGCGTGTGCCTGGGGGAGAAAGAAGCGGCCTCATCACCCGAAACCAGCGTTCGCTCCTTGCGTCAAGCTGCCCCTTTGTCACTCACCCTGTGGAGACCCCACATTCCCGCTCTCCTCCCAGACGGACCCTTTCCGGGGGGATTATTTAACTCTTTTAAGTTATCTGCGGTGTTCTGCAGCTTGGACTGACCCTGACACCCTCCCC